TAGCTAGCACAGTTTTTATTTAAAAGTCGACGACAGTACTTATGATCCAAACCAATATATTATAAGTCAGAATTTGGTTGACTTTAAAACTGCTTACATTAGTGGGAACGGTATGTCGGGAAAAGTGATGTCCTCTTCAGTCTCGTATTATCACTCACTCATCGAATGATTCATTTCTCAGTGAAAAACACAAAACAATTTACACACAGAATTAATTTGCAAATTTTTAATTTATTTAACATTACAAAAAACAGCTCATAAAAAACACATTAAACAAATTCTGATTAATTATATAAAAATAAATTAAAAATATTAATTAAAACCATTTATACAGTAATTAGTTGCAAATCATCTAGAAAATAATACACAAAAATATGTTTTACCACGAAATCAAAAAATAAATAAATTGTTTTACATTTAAAAAAGTGCTTAAAAATCGACTAAAACTACATTAGACTAACGGAACACCAATTTAAGGACTATTTCTTAAGACTTTTATGCTCTTTGAGAGCGAAGTATTCATTTCTGATGAGACTCGTCTTCATTTGCATCACAAATTGCAGTTTCTTTAGGATCTCATTCGTGACACTGGTCTCGGCCTCAAACGTCCAGTGCTTGTACTCATCGCCGTTCCAATAGACCACTTTGAACGTCGATTTACCCGTATCTGCACCGGTAGTTGTCATATAAAAACAAAAACACATATCAATAATCATTTCAATCAAACAAAAGTCTAAATAAAATAATTTTTATATCTAAATCTCATTTTTCTCAAACTCATGGCAAACAACAGAAACGTAAACTGAACTCAATTTATGGGCCAATAGTTCGCAGAGCACCACATCCTCGTCGTTAACGGTGGCCGCCTTTGGCTGCCATTGAAAGAAGCCTTTGTTAGGCATAGGCGTGATCTCGATCTTATCGCCGCTGATACCCATCTCCACGTCCGCGGTTCGGCCCAATTTGTTGATCGCCGTCACGTTGTAGGAGCGGTACAGCGGCGCCTCCATCGCCGACATGTCCAACTCGAACCGATTGGCCGCTCGGCTCTCACCGAAATCCACTGCAATATCCATACAAATAAAAACACTTTTATTCGTGACTTCGTAACAACAAAAAAAAGTAACAAATAATTTCGTATATAATCTATAAATATAGTCTAATTTAATCACAATTTGTCATAACTTATCACAAAATAATTGTCAACTAATATCTCATTATATCATAAAAACTCTGCAAATATTTCAATACAAGAATACATTGTCTGATAATAATGTTTAAAACAATTCAACGCTTTTCTATCACATGTTATCACAGATTATCGTAAGAATGAGTGGTGTCGGCGAGAGGTTCGGGGCCGACGGGTAGCCTGTGGTGGACGCCTACCTGGGGGCTGGTCTGGGGTCAGCACAAACTCCAGCGAATTACAATCGGCCAGAGTTTGCTTCAGGTCTAAGGAAACGCCCGGTTCGGTGCGCTTCTCCAGCTTATAACTGACTCCTAGTTTGGGGACAAAAACACAAAATACTGTTAATTAAACGAATCAATTGAATGAATGCCTAAATTAAGTGGCAAACGATATGCTCATACCTTTGATAAGAGACGGCCGACGCTTCCTCATCGTCAGCTCCAGGAGCTCTTGCAGTGAGATCTGAAGGTTATTCACTTGAATCTTAGAAAACACTTCGTCTATAAAACTGTAAATATAAAAAATACATAAATAATTTACAAATGCAGTACAATATATCAACAACAGTATCGTTGCAATTGTGGCTAATCGGCATCAACTAAGTCAACATTTTTCAAATTTCTAAACATATCTACAGGTACAATTTGATAATAAATTTATAAATAGTTTATCACTATCCAAAAACTATATGAAACAATTATCAAATATTTGTTAATTTTTAAACATTCACCAAATGTGTCACATTTTTAACAAAATCTCAAAAATTTATAAATTAATAAAATCAAACGATAGATACAAAAAAGGCCGATAATATTGACCACCAATTGACACGACATAAGACATCGCGAGTGCACTCACATCGTGACCAACAGATTGCTGTCGTGCTCGTCCTTCTCGACCAGCGCGAGCACAGGGAACCCGAACTTCGCCACCAATTCCTTGCTGTTAAGACTCGGGAAGTCGGGATCCACTTCACCATTCTCTTCGGCTATTCGCAGCGAGTAATGGCTGACACTAGCCTTAAGCCGGGGCTCTTTGCCCTCATTGGTGTACTGCCAGCAAATCAAACCAATCAAGTCGTCCACCCGGGCGTTGATTTGCGTGACCACTTCCATGGGCTGCTGGCGCTGTTGGCTCGACAGCATTGTCAAGTAGATTGTGATACGTTTGGTGGGCGCCGCCTCACTCACCCGCCCGTCAAAGCGGGCGTATTCGTTGAACGGGTTGTTGGGAATGTCCGGACACTTCTCTAATAGCAAACTAAGCGCCGACTTCTTGGTAGCGGTCGTCAGCCCCTCCGCCGCCTTCACCACCGGTTTAACCGTCTGTGTTAACGGCTTTTTGGGGAACAATTCGCTTATTTCCGACTCTAATGGCGACAAAAAAAACACACAAAATATTAGCAAAACTTTAATTACAAATAAATAACTCGTGATTAATCACCGGAGAGGGGGTAGGGGTTGGGCTTCCAGGCGTAGGTCTGCAGCTTCGACTGACTCTTCTTTTCCTTCTTGAGCCGTTCGAGACGTTGGGCTGTATTGGAACGCCGTCTGACGCCAATCAGATCCATGTCCGACATTATATCGTAAGACTGGGCCGCTTCCGACAGCTCCGACTTTGTCTCCAATTCTAAACCTATTTATAAAGTCAATCAAAAACAACAACAAATCAATAATAACTCGCGTAATACATCTCACAAAACGTGTCCATACTTTTAAGTACGAGTGCGTCGTCGGCCTCCTCATCGGCATACCTGTCCTGAATGGACTCATTCAACATAACCATTTCGCACAGACCCGTGTCGTCGCACGTGATAAACGAGTGCCGGATGTGAGACAATATGAATCGCTTGTCGTCGTAGAAAGCCATCGCTTATTAGTTATCAAACAATTTGCTTAATATAACACGTCTTCAGTACACAAAAAAACTGAAATTAAAAAAAATATACACAATATTTAGTGAAAAAAATTTGAAAGGTATTTTAATTTCATAATTAATAGTGTCTTAAGCTATGAAATGAGTGCATGAGTTATACACATATTAGGAAAATAGAGATTTTAATAAAATATTAGATTCCGGTGCCTGTCGTATGTCATAAACAAATTAGATTTCAGTCGCTTTTCGCTGGCGTTTATGTATGGGTTTCGCCAACGATTAGACAGACTTTTCTCGTAAAAGTAATGCAAAAACGACGTTCGCCTCACAATTTGATTGACAATATTAGTAATTAGTAAACTTTTTTTCATTAATTCACTCTTATTTGATAGACTGATGTGTCGTTCACTTCACTTAAGCCGTTATAAGCGACGCAAAAGTTAGAGAATATTTATTTTTTTCGCTAAACATTTCTCTGTTCGCTATATTCACTAAATTTTATTAAAAGTTATAATAGCGTAGAGTATGTGCGAGAAAAAAACATCTTTTGATAAAATTAATGTCTCAAAAAAGTTATGGCAAATGAAGATCTCTTTTGTATTGAAAGCAATGGCGGAGAGAGAGAGAGAGAGATGTGATTAATTAATGTAAAAACTTAGTTTTAAAATATATGGCAAAAAAACACCACATATTAAATGATAACTACGCTAATAATTATAATCAAATTAAGTCTCCGATAGCGAACACTATCTGCACTTAAAACACACTCTAATTTCCAGTGCCTTTCAATGCAATCAAAGCTCGAATTCATTAGTTTTTATGTATGATATGAGAGCGAAATTATATCAAAAGATAATTATATAGAGAAATATCAGTAAAAAAATCAGAAATGAGTTGAAAACTAGTGGATGCAGTAGTAGTCGTAGTGGTGATGGGAAATGAGTGGTAAAAAAATTATTATTATTTAAGCCAAAAGTCAGAGGCATTTGTGTTGTTGTTGTCGAAGAATATGATCATTGGATCGACTTTTTGGATGTATAGCTCTTTTGATAAGTTTTACACAGTTTTTCCATTACTGTCACTCAACATAACATTAAACACAATAACAAACCCAAAGTAGATATAAAAATTAGAATTAATGACTTCTCGGCTATATATCTGTATATGTATGGTATGTATAGCTCTCGCTATATCCCTCTCCCCTATCCCTCTCACTCCCCATTATATCCGAGCCCTCACTCTCTCCTAACCCTATACTACTTGCATGTCATATGGATATACATTCGTCGGGTGCCATTGAATCGGCGTTTTTGTCATCATCTGATAGTATATCATAAAAATTTCTATACACTCAACGAATAGAACATAAGACATATAGAGATGCAGAGAGAGTGGAGTAGAAAATGATGAAAATTTCATGTGATATATGATTGTGTCAACGATAATGTCTGATAGTAAACACGTCTAATGTATTCTTCAATTAAATTATAAGATAAGACAAATTCGTTTAGACTTTTTTGTTTGAATCACTGTCTCCTTTCCCATCCCTATCCATCCGATCCGTTCACTAAACCCAGTGTTTTCTGAGACTTTTCTCTTACCCATAGCCTCTAATCGTAAATAATGTATATTTTTCTTTCAATTAATTT